GGGGATCCACCTTCCCCTTTCATTTGTCCTTTCAATGAATGTTCTATCAAAACTCTTGAACCTGGCTGCTTCAAAAGGTTTGATAAGTTACCATCCCAAATGCAAACGCATTGGTCTTACTCACCTCTCTTTCGCTGATGATCTTCTTATCTTTTGCAAAGGCACTGTGGAAATCTGTCATAGGGGCCACTTCTATTCTTGATGTTTTTTATGAAATGTATGGTCTCAAATTAAATGCTTCCAAATGTGAACTATTTTCAACTGGTGTTGCTTATTCCATTCTTGAAAAATTGAAATTGATCACTAATTTCAAACTTGGCAGTCTACCAATAAGATATCTGGGCATTCCCTTGGTTAAAAAGAAAATTACAGAAAAAGATTGCTTTGCCCTTATTGACATCATTAAAGCTCGACTGCATCAGTGGTCTGGTAGGGCTTTAAGTTATGTTGGCAGACTAGAGCTGGTTCGAGCAGTTTTATTTAGCATTACTAATTATTAGTGCAGGCAAATTTTCCTTCCCTTCTCAGTCATTAAAAAGATTGATCAATTATGTTCTAGATTCTTTTGGAAAGGGACTGATAAACCTGCTGCTGGCGCCAGAGTGAGTTGGAAGAAAATCTGTCATCCAAAATCTGAGAGAGGTCTTGGACTGAAAGATTTGAAAACGTGGAACAAAGCTTGCATGATGATCCTAATTAAGAATATTTTGGCTAGTGACGGTTCTTTGTGGGTGGCTTGGCTAGGAATGTATATCTTAATGCAAATGATTTCTGGTCTGTTGTTGTCAAAAATAATATGAGCTGGACCATAAAACAAATTCTGAAATTAAGGAATGAAGCTTCCTTTATTTTGCATTCTGACTCCAATAAAGTTAGTGATTTATGGAATGAGATTAGGATAAAGACCCCTAAAGTTCATTGGCACTCTTTTCTGTGGTTTCCTCTTCTCACCCCAAAACACAACCTCATTTCTTGGTAGGGATGGCAATGGGCCGGGTTCGGGCCGGGTATTGTCCCCCGTCCTCGTCCCCATTTAAAAAACCATACCCGTCCCCGCTTAAAAACCGCGAGGATTTAAACAGGGATCCCCATCGGGTAATCGGGGAAAACCGCAGGGAAACGAGTATCCCCGTTTAGCATAAATAGTTATTTAAACGGGTATCGGGCCGGGTATCGGGTCAGGTATATATATTTAAATTAAATATATAAATATTATATATATATATATATTAATTAAAATTTAATTTATTAATATTAGTTATTTATATATATATATATATATAATTATTATTTTTAATATTTATCGAGTCGGGTAATCGGGGCGGGGATTACTAAACCCGTCCCCGTCCCCGTTTAACATAAACGGTTTTTCTCCATCCCCGTCCCCGTTTAGCATAAACGGTTTTCCCCCGTCCCCGTTTAATTCAGTTTTCGATTTTTACCGTCGGGTTCGGGTTTTTTTGCCATCCCTATTTCTTGGATGACATTCCTTGACAGACTCTCTACAAAAGAAAGGCTCCAGTGAATGTGGATTGTTAATGACTGTCACTGCATATTCTATGGTGTTGGCATGAAAACTAGAAATCATTTATTTTTTGAGTGTCGATTGCTACTGTATTATGGTCTGCTCTCTTTTCCATCAATAGTATTTGGTTTAGGCACACTTCATGGGAAGCTCTCTATGATTAGGCTGCTGCAACTTGGAAGGGTAAAACCCTTCACTTCTTTAATGAAAATTTCTTCGAATGCTTTAATCTACACCATCTGGAAAGAATGGAACAAGAGGCCTTTTCAAGGTCAAGCATCAACTGTTGAAGATATGTTCAGTGTTATCAAGGAAATTGTTGGATTTCATCTAAGGGGAAGGCCTATTAATAGATTAGACACTGTTAATATTACTCTTTGTAATCAATGGGGTATAATTTGATTTTGTTTGTTTGCCATTTTTTGATTTAGGACGATCTTTGTACACCGAACACTGATTGTTTTTTGAAGCAATCGTTTGCTCTTTGGGTAATAAAAACTAAATTATCAAAAAAAAATATATATATAAGATTAAGTATCCAATGCTTTCCTTTTCAACCACCAACGAGATTAACCTTAGACAGGGACACTGACCGCTACTGTGGATTTATTTCCCTTTTTAGTTCTGTACTTGTAAGAAGACAAACTGCTTTAACACCGTCATCTGCTTTTGTGCAGGCATTTGATAGGCTTTTGTGCAGAATTCCTTCAATATAATCTAGTTTTTCTAAAAGCTGATCATTTTGGAATGGTTTCTAAGGGATTGGATTTTGTGATAGCTGAGGCAAGAAAGTACAGAATCAAGCTCATCCTCAGTTTAACTAATAACTATGAAAGCTTTGGAGGGAAGAAACAATACGTGAACTGGGCAAGAAGCCAAGGCCAGTACCTTACATCTGATGATATGATTTCTTCAGAAATCCTGTTGTTAAGGGCTACTATAAGAATCATGTCAAGGTAAGCTCTCAAAATGATTTATATTTTCCTCTTTTTTATGAATTATGAATATATATTTTCCTTTGCAGACTGCTCTCAACAGATACAATAGCTTTACTGGAATTCACTACAAAGATGACCCTACAATAATGGCCTGGGAGCTTATGAATGAGCCTAGATGCACATCTGATCCATCCGGAAGGACCATTCAGGTTTCAACAATCTTCCATAGCTAGATCTGATATCATCCTAAATGTTCCTCATTTGCAATTGGTGTTTGATGCTTTGTTTGATAGGCTTGGATAATGGAAATGGCTTCTCATGTGAAGTCCATTGACAGAAATCACTTGCTGGAAGCTGGTCTAGAAGGATTTTATGACAATCAACTCCTCAGAAGAAGAGGCTCAATCCCAGCTTGGATATTGGAACAGATTTCATTGCAAATAATCGGATCCCTGGGATTTCGCCACAGTCCACTCATATCCTGACCAATGGTACTAATATTTGTGAAACTTAAACCAAATAGTCAATTAACAAAGCCTTGATCTTTGTTGCATGGACGAGCAGGTTATCCACCTCATATGAACAATACCAGCTCTTTCTTGAACAACTGGCTTGACGCTCACATCCGGGACGCGAAGGTCGTCCTCCGAAAGCAGATAGTCTTGGCGAAATTCGGGAAATCGCGGAAAGACCCCGTTTCAGCACTTATCAGAGGGACCAAGTGTTCAACACCGTGTACTACAAAATATACACGTGTTTTGCAACTTCTAGCTGAAATGGACTCTTTAGGGGATGGATACGAGGTAGTTTTGAGTGAGAGCTCCTCCACAGCTAATGTGATTGCTCAACAATCTCGCAAACTGGACCAGATCCGTAAGATAGTCACTAGGGTGAGGAATGTGCAGCGGTGGAAGAGGGCAAAACCCATGAGAAAGGGTCGATGGCATCGTAGAAACAGGGGCAAGCGCATTGGCAGCTGAAAAAGAAGCGAATACGATTATATGCTACATTTTGAATGTTGAAAACTGTAATTGTCTTCTTCAAGTTTGTGATTTTGGAAAATGGTTTGCTCTCTGAGTGATGAATGTTTTGTTCCTCCAGGAGAGTAGAGCTATGCTTTGGGTATTGTAATTTTTGTTTCACGTTTTAAAGCAAGTTGTTTAAGGAGGCTCAGTGTTAGCTTGGAAGGGAAAGAAAACACAAGAGCCTCAAGCTTTGTTTCATCATATACAACGTCATACTATATGATAGAATGGTTTATTGAAAGGTTTATTGAAAAATAGAGCCATCTATGTTCGTTGCGTTTCATTTCAATCAAAAGAAGTTGTTCATCACATTCATCAATCTCTTAAGGCATAACTAAGTCCTGGTTAAGTGCTCATTGCTTAAAAAATAGTATCTTCCATAGAAATTATTAATTTTATTAAAAGGAGGAAATATTCAAAATTATAATGAAAGGCTATAATAATAATTTAAATCTAAATATGTAATAAAGACACTTTTCTATAACAATTAGGGTAAAGTGTACAAATGCCCCGATTATAGGCACTGCTTTGTTGAGTTCATTGACTATTAAAAATTACAAAATATCACCTAATTATGACTTTGTTCTGTTGAGTACCCCAACTATTAAAAGTTACAAAATGATCATCTAGCTATTCATATGTTCTAAATTCATCATTTTTCATTAACAAATTGACGACCTTCTGAATTGGACATTAACCTGTTGACTGGAATATATAAAATATATTTTGATGATGTGTATTGGTACCACCATTGATTTCAAGCAATAGATTGACGATATAATATTTCAAGCAGTGACTCGATGACATAAAGTAAGAAGAGAATCGATCCACAAAATATAGCTCAAACGATTCTAGGATAAGATTTTATCATATCTCAGTCAACATGTAATCATGCGACCACTATTTTTTAATGAAAAAAGACTAATTTGAAATATATGAATAGTCAGTGATCATTTTGTAATATTTAATAGCCATGAGACTCAACAAAGCAATGTCTTATAGTCAATGGACCATTTTATACATTTAGTAGTTAGGGAACTTCAGAAAGCAACGCCTATAGTCAGGAGTCCATTTGTATACTTTACCCTGACAATTAACACAAAAACTAGTTACTTAAGATCATATCAGGATCATACAAGCAAAATGTTTAAAACCAACAAAAACTTTCAAAGAAAAGGTAAATATGAACATATTTGGTTGTATCAACAAATACAATTCGTATAATTACCAAAAGATATACAGATAAATACCAAAACATGTTAAAATTTTAATATAATTATACATTTATCTTCAATATTTATACAATTTATTAATTTAATTCTAAATCCAATTTAATTAAATATATTTAATCATTGATAATGACATATGGCTCGATCCAAGTCCGATGAGGTTCGGCCCATTGAAATATCTAAATGGTAGGATCCGCCCTAACAAATGGGCCGAGTTCCGTGTTTGGTCCAAATGTGCATCAGACATCAGTTCAAACTGTGTTTGGTCATGAATGCTTTGCCACTTCTTCCAACTGAAACATGATATTAACCATTAGGGTTCACAATCTAAGAAAGCTATGCACGGTTTCAAACATCGCTTTTGTCGGGAACAAAGACATTGTTATTTCACTCAAAAACCATTTTCCCGCTCCTATAAGCATGCTCCAACTCAATTCTGATCTAAAATGCTTGGTCAAAACGGGTCATCTCCAAGAAGCTCGTCAAATGTTCGATCGAATGCCTCACAGAGACGAAATTTCATGGACTACCATGATTTCTGGTTACGTCACTGCCACGAACTCAACTGAAGCATTGCTCTTGTTCTCCAAAATGTGGGTCTCACCTGGGCTTTCCATGGACCCCTTCTGTCTTAGTATTGCACTTAAAGCTTGCGCGCTGGAATTTAATTTTAATTATGGAGAATCACTGCATGGCTATTTAGTTAAATCTGGTTTTTTTAACTCAGTTTTCGTCGGCAGTGCCCTTTTAGATATGTACTCAAAGTTTGGAAAAATTGAGCTAGGAATCAAAGTGTTTGATGAGATGCCTATAAAAAACGTGGTTTCATGGACCGCAATTATTACAGGGCTTGTTCACGGTGGATATTATAAGAAGGGTTTGGCTTACTTGTCTGAAATGAAAAAATATGGAGTGGAGTACGATTCTTATACTTTAGCTATTGTTTTGAAGGCTTGTGCTTCTTTAGGTGCTTTGAATTTTGGCAGGGAGATTCATGCTCATACTACAAAGAGAGGTTTTAATGGTACTTTATATGTGGCTAATTCTCTTTCTACTATGTATAACAAATGTGGAAAATTAGATTATGGTTTGTGTTTGTTTGAAAAAATGAATACACGGGATGTGGTTTCATGGACATCTATTATAACAACTTATATTCAGATGGGAGAAGATAAGAATGCCCTTGAGGCATTTATAAGGATGGGAGAAGCAGGCGTGAGTCCAAATGAGTTTACTTTCGCTGCTGTCATCTCCGGTTGTTCTGGTCTTGTGAGAATTAGTTGGGGTGAGCAATTGCATTCCCTTGTTTTCCGTATCGGTCTTGCAGATGCTTTATCGGTGGCTAATTCGCTCATGACCATGTATTCGAAATGTGGGCAGATATCTTCTGCTGCAATGGTGTTTCATGAAATGACAAGAAGGGATATCATTTCTTGGAGCACTATAATTTCAGTGTATTCTCAAGGAGGTTATGGGGAAGAAGCTTTCGAGTATTTGTCGTGGATGAGAAAGGAAGGGCCAAAGCCAACCCAGTTTGCTTTTTCTAGTGTGCTGAGTGTCTGTGGAAATATGGCTATTCTAGAGCAAGGGAGGCAGCTTCATGCTCATGTTCTTTCCATTGGGTTAGAACAAGAAGAAATGATACAGAGTGCCTTAGTTAATATGTACTCAAAATGTGGGTGTATTAAAGATGCTGAAAAAGTCTTTAACGAAGGTGAGAATTATAATATCGTGTCATGGACAGCCATGATTAATGGATATGCTGAACATGGATACTTTCGTGAAACTATTGATTTGTTCGAGATGCTTTCTAAGGTTGGTCTGAAACCAGACTCGGTGACCTTCATTGGCCTTCTTACTTCTTGTAGTCACGCTGGACTAGCTGATCTCGGTTTCTATTACTTCAATTTAATGAGTAGTGAGTACCAAATAAGTCCTTCCAAGGAACACTATGGCTGTATGATTGATCTACTCTGCCGAGCTGGGCGACTGACAGAAGCAGAGCAAATGATTGAAAGCATGCCGTTTCATAGAGATGATGTGGTTTGGTCAACCCTTCTTAGAGCCTGTAGGGTCCATGGTGATGTTGAACGTGGACGACGCACTGCAGAAAAGCTTCTTGAAATGGATCCAGATTGTGCAGGGACTCATATCACCCTTGCTAATATATATTCTGCCAAAGGAAAATGGAGAGAAGCAGCAGATGTTAGGAAGATGATGAGGTCAAGGGGGGTCATCAAGGAACCAGGATGGTCCTGGATTAAGATTAAAGATCGGGTTTCTGCATTTGTTGCCGGTGAACGATCTTACCCAGAGGGTGAAGAAATATATGGCATGTTGGATCTTCTAGCATCGAGGGTGGATTTTTCTGTCCAGGAGTTAGGTTCTCTTCTAGAGCAAGAGGATTAAGCCTGAAATGAAGATTCAATTTCATTTTTTTTTCATGCAGGTTTGGTCCTCTTTCTCCTAATTGAAAGTTGAATTTAACAGAAGCAAGGTTCGAATCGATTGTTAACGACATCTTACAACCATTAGTACTAGATTTTTGCAAGGCTTACGTGAGGATTCTTCCATCAATAGATAGGACATCCAGCATATTATGGATGTGGAATATTCTAGTACAAATTCAAGGATTTGGTTAATGATGCTTATGGATTTCATGGAACAATGTGTAAAAATTCCAGGATTCCTGAATAATTTTGTTGTTAGAAAAAAAAAAGATGTCATTTTTCATCTTCATGTAGGACAGATTTCAGTCCAAGTCACTAAAGAAGCTAAAAGGTTCAAGGCATCAGGAGTTGTGAACTTAGGGTGCGTTTGGTTCACAGAATGTAAGATTACTAGTGGAAATAAAAAATTAACAGAGAATAAGATTATTGGGAATGTTACATTACTGTGTTTGGTTGGTTTGGTAGGAATGTAAGATTACCGTGTTTGGTTGAAGGAATAAAAGATTACTGGAATGTATATTTTACTAAATTGTCCTTGTTCTATATTGTTAACAAGTAAAATTCTAAATATTTAAAAATAAAAATAATTTATATAAAAATTCTATCTGTTGATAATATATTACTTGAGTATTTAAATATATTATGTATTATTTTAATTTTAATTAATATTATATAATTTATGGTAAAAATATATTAAAAATATTATTGTGTATGATATTTTTTTGAAGATTTTCACACTCGGGTAGTGTGTTGATGACAAAAAGCTTCGATTTTTGGAGGCTAATGCGTTCAAGGAGGTTACTTATTTCCATCATGAATGAAGACAAAGTTAACAGATGAAATAACCATACATCTTTGGTTCTTATATCGTTTTCTATAAACCATGAAGTCCTGAAACTATGTCTTATATTTTAAATTCATCTCCAGATTTTAAAATATTTTAATTGTGTCTTAAAACTATCAACACCATTTCAATTAGGTCATTCTGTTAGCTTGAATATTAAATATTAACTTTGATTTAATGTAGAGCATAGTTAAAATACGTTGATCAAATTTTAAACACGTATACATGTGTTGCATGAACATAACAAAGGAAACTCACTTTGTCCTAAAGTTTTACATCCAGAAAACAATGCCTGAATAAGTGAAAACACATAATATGTTCTTCATTAGCAACCTCCCATTCCAACATCGTCTGGACAACAGTACAGCGCGATGGATCTTTCAGCTAGATCGGTTCAGAAAAAGCGGTTAAAAGCTTAGCAAAATTGTTTCCGTCGAATATCTCGACTATTGAAAATAGCATCGACAATCCATTGCCTTACCTGTTTCAATAACGAGAAGTTTGAGTTTGTTCAGATAATATAAAAACTGACGTTTTCCGGCAAAAACGAATAGTCGAAACATAATGGAAATCCTGTGTCATTAGTCCATTATTGAGAAGAGATGCAGAGAGACACAAACAGTCTGAAAAACAAGTTGAAAAGTTTGTCACTGGGAAATGACATTAAAGGTAGCATGAACAGCATCTTTTTATCCATACTTGACATTACAAAGCAATAAATGAACACTATTTAGCCAGCTCTTGGGGACAAGGGAACCGTTCATACAATATGAATGAGGTACTGACATATATAACACAGCATTGCAGCATAAGGAATCAACAGTCAAATTCAAGAGGCAGATAACTTCTACGAATAGATGATTCCCGAAACAGCAGTGAATCGAAGATGTTCCAAAGAACTTCTGTCTGGTGACCAAGCAATGTCGAACTCTTCTTCACCGGACTCGATGCTAGTTGATTGTATACAACAATCTGTTACACTCTAAAACCCAACTCTCCATCTCCATGTCCATCCTAATTCCAGCATTAACATTCCAACCCTTAGCCCTCAATTCCCGGCAATGGAAATTTACATTTTGTCAAATGAATTCTCATAACTTTTTCTAAAAAAATACTACAACTAATATATATATATATATATATATATATATATATATTGGCATTTTACATTATACAAGCATAAATATCATAACTGTAAAAAGAATTACCCTTTAACTTTGCAGATTCTTCTTCAGACAGCAGGTTCATACTTCATACTGATCTATTTTCATTGTCTTGGCTAATATTTTACAGGCAGTAGAGCATGCATCATTACAGATAAATGAACATAGTATATTCACTCCCTGCTCCAAAGCTTCCCATCAAGAAAACAATGCCCAAAGAAGTAACAAATCTTTCCGCTTGATCGGTTCGTAAGCGTAACAGAATTCTTCGAGTCTGCCAAGCTGTTTCTATCAAATGTTTGAACTATTGAAATTAACGTATACAATCTCGTTCCCTACCTTCTGCAACAAAGAGCGGTAAGAGTTTGTCCGATGCAGATCAACTTTGACTAGCATCTTTTATCCCACACTTGACAAGAAACCAATCCCGAAGGTATCATCAAAGCAATAAACGAACACTATTTAGCCAACTCTTGGAGAGAAAGGGAACCATTCATACAATATGAATGAACTGCAGAAGTATAACTTATAGCATGAACTGCAGTACGGATGACTTCTCGAAGATGGAAGTTCATCCAAGTATCACCATTAATCAAATGGTAGTGATAAAAATTTGCCCATTTTTAATCCCCAATAAACTACTGCAGTCCTCAAAATAGTAGTATTTAATAAGAAAGAAATCATTGCAGAAATATAAAAATGGTGTACGTAATTCAGGGGGTTTTACCATAGGTTGAAAATTTTCCATGTGGAACAACGGAAGAGGAAGCTGAGACTGAGACCAACTTACAGATGTGCATTTGAAATTGAGGCTGCTTTCATTGCTACTTTAAGTAATGCATTATTTCAAACAAATTACAACTCCATTGTCGTCCAGTGGTTAGGATATCTGGCTTTCACCCAGGAATCCAAAAAAAACATGGATTCAACATGAAACCAAAAAAACACAAACACCCAAATCAAAAAGGAATAAAGATAAACAAAGGTTGAAGGAAAAGGAACAACCTGAAAATAGATGAAGTGAGTAAGAAGAGCAAAGGGTAAATTTTTTGAGAATCAGATATTCCTCCAATCTGCGTCGGGGAGTTCAAGAACAAAGAGAGAGAGCGCGAAGGCAAAAACAACAACACTTGAGAGAAGAAGATATCGCAGAAACAAAATAAAAGAATACTTAACCGATGTGGGGAATAACATTCCGAGGAATATTTACTGTTGAAAAACAAATATTACCCTCACTTGGAAAAAAATACCCAACCAAATATGAGTTTCCTTAATCAGTAAAAAAATATTCCTACCAAAAATCCTAAAATCTTTCATCCAAACGCCTCCTTAAAAGTATGCCTTTAGCTGTTGCCTAAAGTTGACTGTCAAGCTACGTTTGCAATTTAGTTTTGGCCATTTGGTCCGAAGCTGGTGAAGAAGCCGTCAGTGTTGCGGATGGGTCCAATTGAGACAGGGGCATTGCCGAAGTGTAGAGAGCAGATGTTTTTGGATGAGGGGACCCTCACACTATCAATTTCAATAGCATTGAAGAGTAAGGGAGGTGCCCATTGAGGTTGATCCACAACCGCACCAGAGACTCGAAAGTAGGCCATTAGCTATTGCTTAAAGTTTACTGTCAAGCTACTTTTGCATGAGCACACTGTTAAAATTGCTCACTAAACTATTTTTTATTTAAAACTCATGCATAACGTTACGTTTTGATCACCCGTCATATTCGTTCTATTTTCATTATTATTATTATTATATCATAAAAGTGAGGTAATTCCTTCTCTTATTGATTATATTTTGTTTTCATTTCACTAGTACTATCACTTTTGCTTCTGAACTTCGACACTATTTATGGAAAGTGCATTGTATACTCAAGTTAAGAAACATATGGGTGTTCTTGGTGGCTAAGATGTTCGAGTAATGATTCACATGTGAGTGAATATTTGACTAATGATTGATTTAGGATGATAAACAACAGAGGAACGATTAGTGAAGATAATAAGATTTTTGGGAAAGTGATGAAATATATTAAAATATCATGTTAATAATATGAGGCCTTCATTTCAACAAATAACAGTTCACGTCAACAAAATCAGGTTACATCACTTTTGAGCATTCAATTTCAACCTTTTATTTCTCTTCATTTAACAGTCTTAAAATATTATAAAACTCTTAATTTTATACTAGGTGTAAATAAATCCTAACTATGATATTTTAATATATTTCATCACTTTCTCAAAAATCTATCTTCACTGATCATTCCTATGTTGTTTATCATCCTAAATCAATCATTAATCAAATATTCACTCACATGTGAATCATCCAATAACACCCATATGTTTCTTAACTTGAGTATATATACCAGATAGTCCTGTATGGATTTGAGGATCGGGTGTTGAAATTGAATGTTTTGAAAATGATAAAATTTATAATTTTGATTAAAATTAAAATTTTAATATAAAATTATAATTTTAATATAAAAATAATAAAAAATGAGAAAGCTGAAATTTTGATTTAGAGAATTTTATTCTTTTGAATAAGGAAATAATGTCGTGCCCGTCAACATAAAATTAGAGCGTTTTTATACAGAGCTCCACCGGCTATTTTGCTGGAATAATGCATACGGGGATGTTTAATTCCCCAAATAATGCACTTTAATTATTATTTCCCCAAATGGGGTGATTGCTATAGGAAATATGGAAAGCTCGGCGTCTTTAGGCTGTCGTCGTCTTCAACTTGGATATCCCGGCGTCTTCAGCAGATGTGGAAGCGTGGGAGCTGTGCATGATCTCTCGGCGTCTTCAGTTGGATTCTTCATAGGAACTCTCGGCGTCTTCAGTGCTGTGCATGGGACTGGACGTGAGAATCACGGGTTCTGCAAGGAGAGAGCACGGGTTCTGCAAGGAGAAATCACGGGTCGTGGGTCCTGCAAGGCTGCACGTCTGCATGTGGGGGTCCTGCACGTCTGCATGTGGGGGGCATGCAACTGTTGGATTTCTCGGCGTCTTCTTTACATTTAGGTAAGGATTTCTCGGCGTCTTTGCATGGAAAGCTGGATAGCTCGGCGT